TCACCCAGTTTAAAAGGCCATGGATTTGGCAGAGGTTTCTTGAGAGGAGATGTTTTTCACCTCAGCTCCAGCAAGACTTTCGGTCTGGTCTCCCTCGGTGTTCTTTTACCCAAGAGAGGCCATCACAGCCTGGGTGGGCAGACAGAGCTGGGCAGAAAAGGCAGCTGGATGATGATGCTGAGAGAGCAGAGGTGAAGGGGTCGCACCCTCCCTGGTGTCCACTGGGACATACTGGGCCGTTGTGGGGCAGCACAGGGGACTCTGCTGAGACCTGGGCAGTTCAGCACCTCTATCATGGCCCAGAGGACACAACTCTCACCATGTTTGTTCATGGCATTAAATTGGGAGGAGCATTCCTTTGCCTTGGGATGCCATTCAGGGCACACCTGACAGGCAGGTGGACTGTCCAGTCAGGAAGTTCATAGGACAGTTCAGGAGGGAAGGGAGATCAGTGCTCTGCAGTCCAATGTCCAGCTCCAAGCAGGGCCAGGTCTGAGCTCACACCATTGGCTCAATAAATGTCAGCATCCACAGAGAGATTTTACACACAAACCAGGCCTCTACCTCCCCCCTCAAAAGTAAAAGAGATGAGGACTTTGACCAGCTCCTTGAAAACAGGCCTTGTTTTGCTCTACCCCCTGAAATTCCTGGGAATATCTACCTTGTCCAGAGGATGGGGTTCCTCCTGCAGGGCTGCTGGCACATCTCCAGGCCATGGGGTGCTTTGTGTTGTGCTTTAGGGATAGAACTGCCCAGTTTATTGCTCCCACAGACTCTCCAAAACACATTGGAGAGGAGAATTGGAGGCACAAACGGTGAAGATCACAGGTTGAGATAAGAACTGTTTACTGGAAACTGCAAGGAGATAAGAAAAGGAACAGCAACAGCAACAATAATAATAATAACAGAGAACATGAGAGAGGCGAGTGAGATATATATATATATATATATATATATATATATGTACACACACACAAGCACAGGAATCACTTCCCCACTCAATGCTGTCCCTCCAAGGTGTCTGTTGAGTTCATTTAGTCCATGACTGTGGGTTCTATCCACCCTGGATGTCTCCCAGGGCAGGGCTGGGGTGCTGTGGGCTGGTTTCAAGCTGCCTCAGGAGCTCACAACTGGTGTATCTGGAGCAGTCCATCCTCATTGTCCATGGGAGTTCTGGGACACAGTGGCAGTGTCATTCAGCAACCAGTATTATACAATTGAACATCGCAGACTCTTCTCACCCCAAACCAAATCCCCTTGAGGTACACACCGTGTTTCCCTGTCCCTCTGTGTCACCCAGCAAGTGCCCCCAGATCCTCGAGCAAAAACAATCCCACAGTTGAGTTTGCCTTTGTTTGAGGCAGGACTGATCCAAACTGTCTTTCCTCACATGTTCCTCATGCGCACCATGGGGACTTTATCCCCTCCGATGGTACAGGGAGGTTCTGATGGGCAGGGCCAGCTCAGTTGGTGGAGCCTCGGGTGTGAACTGACCAGGTAGCCTTGGCTAAATGGAGATCCCAATGTTTCAAGGTCCCACCATCCAATGCTTTCAAGGTGGTTTTGAATGGTGCATTGTTCTATTCAACTTTCCCAGTGACTGGTGCATGATGGGGAACATGATACACCCACTCCATCCTGAGCTGTCTGGCCCAGGGGTCCATGAGGCTGTTTTTGAAATTCTCAATTCTTTCTAGGGGCCATGTTCGTACAGGACTCACTTTTCCAGGCCCAGGATCTTCTTCCAGGCAGTGGTGTGAGCACAGGGTGTGTCTCCAGCTGTCCAGGGCTTGTTCCCACCATTGTAAACACAGGGTATGATGTGATCCATCTGCCAGGCCTCCCCATATCTGTATTTCCACCATCATCCCCATCCCACAGAGACTTTACCTGCTTGTCCTTTTTGTTCTCAGCACATGTTTCACAGTCATGAATAACCCAGGACATGGTGTCTATGGTTAAAACCACTCCTCCATCATGAACCAATGTTCCATCTCTTGCTGATGACCTGAGGCGTCCTGGGCCCACTGAGCCAGAAATAATTCACTCTAGTGTTGCCAGTCCAGATCCACCTGAGACACTTTAATCTTAGCATCTCAATCCACCTGTTGTCCCTACAACGTGTCAGGAACTGTCAGTGAAGAGAGCGTGCCGCTTTTCATTTTCTGGGAGCTGACTATATGGTGGGGCCTCCTCAGCATGTGGCTCCTCCTCCTCTGATGATGATAGTCCAAAATTTTCACCTTCAGGCCAGTTTGTGACAACTTTCAAGATCCCTGAGTAACTGGGGTTTCTGTGTGATCTTGCTGTGTGATCAGAGCCATCCACTGGCTCCACGTGGCATCATTGGCATGATGTGTGGAAGGGACTTTCCCTTTCAACATCCAGCCCAGCACTGGCAGTTGGGGTGCCAGGAAGAGCTGTGCTTCAGTGCCAATCACTTCTGAAGCAGCTTGAACCCCTTCAGAAGCTGCCAGGATCTCTTCTTCCAGAGGGGATGTAACAGGCCTTGGATCCTTTGTATCCCAAAACTCCAGAATCTCAGGGATCATCCTCGAGTTTCCCCAGGTACCTTCTGCCAGAGGCTCCAGGAAGGACCATTCTCCAGGGTCTCTGGAGCTGCTGGGGTTGGGGGCATTGATGTCCAGCTTGCCTTCCTCTTCTCCTCCTCCTCACCATTGTCCCCACAGCACAGGGTACATTTCCCACTGGAAAAACAGGGATTTGGGGGCAAAAAGCAATTTTTTTTGATGGAGAATGTCCCTGGGGGTCATGGTTGCACCAGGGTGAGGCTGCTCTAGGGCAGCTGCTCTCTTACCTTGGAGCTTTCCTCCTCCTCCTCCCACTCCCCCTCCTTGTCATCATCTTCCCTGTGTAGGGCACATTCCCCAGAAAAAAAACAGTGAGCTGGGGGCAGAAAACTGCTTTTCTGAGGGGGAGACTCCCTGGGGGTTCTGGTCATGCCAGGACATCCTTCCTCCTTCTCCCCCCTCTCCATGTCCTTCTTCTCCTCCTCCTCACTGCCCAGGGCACATTCCCCAGAGGAAACCCAGTGATTTTGGGGCACAAAACTGTTTTTCTGATGGGGAATCTCCCCAGGGATCCCAGTCATGTCAGGGCAACCTTCCTCCCTGACCACCTCCTCCTCCTCCTCCTCCTCCTCCTCTTTCTCCTCACTGCTCAGGGCACATTCCCCAGAGAGAAAATCACGGTTTGGGGGCAGAAAGTTGCTGTTCTGATGGGGAACCTCCCTGGGGGTCCCCGTTGTGCCTCTCTCCCTCTCCCTGTCCTCCTCCTCCTCCTCATCCCCGCCACTCAGGGCACCCCTGAGCTTGGCCCAGAAGAGGGGCCGGGCGAGAGGCTCGCTGGGCCAGCGCAGGTGGGTGCGGCGCAGCAGCACACGGCGCATGCGGTGGAAGGCTGAGAGCTCAGCCTCAGGGATGTCCTCAAGGAAGACGAGCACAAGGACATCGCGCAGCTCGTCAAAGAGGCGGTAGCTGGCGAGCTGGATCTCCAGCGAGCACCACTCGCTGCGCAGGTACCCGCGGCTCACCACGCACACCGTGTGCTGGCTGTTGTACACGGCATCCACGATGTTGTCCACAATGGCGCGGCCGGGGCGGAAGTCTCGGTGGTGGAGGCAGAGCCGCAGGGCCCCGCGCTCCAGCTCGGGCACCAGCTCCTCCAGCACCCAGCGCTCGTCTGCGGAGTTGTAGGACACGAAGGTGTCGTAGGTGTAGCGGCGCCGCTCCCGCCGCCAGCGCCCACGTGCCCACGCCCGCAGCAGGTACAGGTGGTAGCGCAGCTGCCAGTACCCGCGGTGGTGCAGCAGCGGCAGCGCCAGCAGCAGCAGCACGGCCGGTGCTGTCCCTGCGAACAGGTACCGCCCCATGTCCAAGTAGCACACACGTGTGTCAAAACTGTGCAGGTATGCCGGGGCCCCGCCTGCCTCGCCGCAGGTGTAATTGTACAGGTAGACCACCTGCACAGGCCCCTGTGCCAGCCAGGCTGGCAGCCAGACGTTGGCACAGCTGCAGCTCAGCGGGCACTTGCGCAGGTCTAGGTAGCGCAGGGCGGGCAGGCGTGTGGTAAGCGCCGTGTCCAGCCCGCGCAGCTCGTTCTTGGCCAGGCGCAGCTCCTCCAGCTGTGTCAGATTGCCAAAGACCTCGGGGCCGAGCCCACGCAGCCCCGCGCTCTCCAGGTCCAGACTGCGCAGGCGGCTCAGGTTCTTGAAGATACCGGCAGGCAGGGCGCCCATCCCACCACTGCCGTCGGCCAGTGTCAGGTACCGTAGCTGCGCCAGGTCATCGAAGGCATCGGCAGGCACGGCCGAGAGCGCGTTCTGTGACAGGTACAGCGAGCGCAGGGCACCCAGGCCCTGGAAGAAGCGATGCGGGACCACGTGCAGCCCATACGGCTGCTGCGCCTGCAGCTTGAGGTCATAGAGCCGGCGCAGGTGGCGGAAAGGCGGCGGCTGCCGCGGGCGCCGGCTCAGGTAGCGCAGCGCGTTGGCGCGCAGGTCCAGCACGCCCAGCGTGGTCTGTACTGGCCGGAACACCGCCTCGCTCACCTCCAGCAGCCGGTTGCGGTCCAGGTAGAGCCGGCACAGCTGGGGCAGCCCCTGGAGCGCAGCGGCCGCCAAGTGCTGCAGATTGTTGCCACCCAGGTCAAGGGTCTGCAGGTGTTTGAGCCCCCTGAAGGCGCCGGGGAAGAGCACAGCCACGCGGTTGTTGCGCAGGTTGAGGTCACGCAGCCGGTGCAGGTCGGCAAAGGAGCCAGGCAGGAGGTCGGTGAGCAGGTTGTTGTCGAGTCGCAGGTGCCGCAGGTCGTGGAGTCCCCACAGCGCCGCACGGTCCAGCCGTGCCAGTCCGTTCACATCCAGCCGCAGCCGCCGCAGCGCCGGAGTGTTGGCGAAGGCACGGGGACCAGCCACCAGGATGCGGTTGAAGCGCAGAGACATGTTGTGGAGCCGCCGCAGCACTGGGGCCCCATGGCACGACGGCAGCCACCGCAGCAGGTTGTGCTCGGCCACCAGCTCGCCCAGTGCCGCGCGCTGTGCCAGGCCCAGCAGCTGCCCCACACAGTTCAAATTCTGCAGCCGGTTGCCGGATATGTCCAGGGCACCCAGCACCGGGCAGTCAGCCAGTGCCTTGGCAGGCATCACTGCCAGCCCTATGTTCCGCAGCTGCAGCCGCCTCAGCCACGGCCCCGCAAGGTGCTGGCAAAGCTCGGTCAAGCCCCCCGCACCCACCTGCAGGCCTGACACGTCCACGCAGCGCGGGGGTACCACCCTCAGGAGCCGTGCAACGTCCAGTGGGTTCCCAGCCAGGTGTAGCCGCGTCAGGTTGTGCAGGCGCAGCCGGCCAAGGGGCGCTGGGTCCGAGATGTTGTTGTAGGACAGGTCAAGCACCCGCAGCCCCTTGGGCAGCACCTCGGGGGCCGCCCCTGACAGAGTCCCCAGGGAGTTGTTGCAGAGCAGCAGGACCCTCAGTGCAGGCGGCAGCCCCGGTGCCAGTGCTGACAGGGTGTTGCCGCACAGGTCGAGCAGATCCAGGCGGGGAAGGTGCCCCACAGCCGCAGCCACGGGGCCCAGGGCACCCAACCGGCCCCCCCCGCAGCAGCAGTGTGGCCAGCACGGGCAGCGCCCGCAGGGCCCCTGGGGCCACAGCGAGCAGCGGGTTGTGGTCCAGCCGCAGCGTGCTCAGGTTGCCCAGCCCAGTGAAGACCCCCGTGGGCAGCACTGACAGGTGGTTGTGGGCCAGGTCCAGCTGGGCCAGTGCCAGCAGCCCCCGGAAAGCCCCCCGGGCCAGCAGCTCCAGCCGGTTGTGGGTCAGGTCGAGGGTGCAGAGCCGCGGGAGGTGGGCAAAGGCGTCAGGGGGCACCTGGTGCAGGATGTTGACTGAGAGGTTGAGGGAGGTGGTGTTGGGGGGGGAGGTCACCCACGGCAGCCCCCACGGTGGTCAGGAAGCGCTGGACGCAGCGGAACAGCCCCAGGTCCCACGGAGCCTGGATGCAGTTGCGGAAGCCGTAGGGAGAGATGCCCATGGGCACCGTCACCAGTGTCACCAGTGTCACCAGCAGTGGGGCGTACATCCTGCCCTGTCCTGGTGGGATCCTGAGAGGCAGGAGAGGAGGAAAGAGAGGAGTGAGGGATGTCTTCAGCAACTGAGGGACCCCCTTTAAAGCCCAAGGACCTCCCTTGGGGCTCAGGGACTCTCCCACATACCACCCCAGAGACTCCCCCTTACACTTTAGGGATCCCCCTCAGGGCTCAGGGCCTCTCCCACACACCACCCCAGGGACCCCCCCTCACACACTCCAGGGAGCCCCCCAAGCACCCTGGGACATCCCCCCCAGCACCCCAGGGACCCCCCTGCCCCCCAGTCCCCAGGGATTTTGGAGACCCCCATCCCCTCAGCAGGATCCCACCGTGCTGCTGCCTCTGCCTCAAGCGATTTTGGGGCAGAAAAGGGAAGTTTTGGGTATTGTTTTGTGTCACTGCTTCCCTCTCCCCCACCCCCCCACCCCGTGACGTGACTGGAGGCGGTCCCTGCCCAGATGGATTTGGGTGTCCCCAAAGAGGCTGGGGGGGGCACAGCTGGGTCACCCCCCTTCTGGTGAGGCCCCCGGGGGGGTCCCTGGGACCCCCAGTCCCGTGCCCTTCTCCCCCCCTTAATTCCTGCTCCCCCCCACCTGCTCTTGGTTCCTCTTCCCCCACCCCCCCCAAACCAACCCACCTGGTTTTGGTTCCTCGGGGGAAGTACTGAGTTATGCTGGTCTCCAGTGGGCTGTACTGAGTTGTACTGGTGAATTTGGGTAGCTGGGGGGGCTATGGAGGGGCTGGGGGGGCTGCAGGGACTGGTGTACATCAGGGTCTGTGGACATATTGGGATCTGGTAGGGTTATGGGGGCTGGGGGGACCCTGGGGGGGCTGCGGGGACCCTGGGGGGCTGCAGGGATTGGGGTGTGTCAGAGTCTGGGATACTGGGTTCTGGGGGGTTATAATGGTGCTGGGGGGCATTGGATGGGGGGGTGTATTGCAGTCTGGGGGGGGTTACGGAGGTCTAGGGGGGCTATTGAGGTCTGGGGGTGTCTCTTAGGCTACAGACGTTGGGGTGCATCGGGGTCTGGAGGTTCAGGGATCTGGAAGCGCGGGGAGAGCCCTGGGGTTTCAGTAGGGATCCCTGAGGTGTGTTTAGGGGTCCCTGGTCCCCACCCTGTGATGGGGGTCCCTGAGGTGCAAGGGTGTGTCCCTGGGGTGTTTTTAGGGGTCCCTGAGGTTTGAGGGTCTTGTTTCCAAGCCTATGCCCTGCCCCCTGAAGAACTGACCCCGCCCATAAAGTGAACCCCTAAGCCCCGCCCCC